TACTAGCACAGAGCAAATTAAACACTCACTGAATGTTCGAGTTCCCTCAATTAAACACTGACTGCAGTCTTACCTGTTAGGTGACCGCTGGCCCAGCCGGGGATTCAACATGACCTGAGGGCCTGGGAACGTGGCCCAGTGGTGGTGCTTGTGCTTAGTGTGCTTGGTCCAGGGTTCACGCCCCAGTGCCGAAACAACGTGGTGAGACTGCAGCTCTGACCTTCTGGAGTTTCACAAATGGTGAATACAAGGCTAAAGGCAGTGTGTGGGCTGGGGGTTCAATCCCTGGGCCTGCCATGCTGACCCTGCCCGTGGGGTGTGCAGAGCCAGCAATTGAGACTGGGATGGTGGCAGGCACCTATAATCCCAGCACTGGATCACTATGAGTCCGATCTAGTAGTAAGACTCTGAACACCCTGTAGACCCTTCCCTAAAATACAAAATAAATAAATAAATAAAGGCAGTGTGAACGCTGCAGAGGAACTTCATGTCTACAGTTTTGTTGGGGCTGAGGATTAATGAAGAAGGAGAAATCAAATTAGAAAGACAAGGGGAGTTTATCAATAAAATTATGTCAAAAAATAAAAATTAAAAAAAAAAAGAAGCCAGGCATGGTGTCACACATCTGTAATCCCAGCACTGGGGAGGATGACGCAGGAGGATCGCTGCCTGTTCAAGGCCAGTGCGGGCTATACTGACCTCTAGGCCATCCTGGAGCCTGCACTACATAGCAACACCCCGTCTCATAAAAGAAAGAAAGAAGATACTCAACAACTGTAAACTAAGGAAAGGGACTGTCAGACTCAATCAGAAGCCAACAGCTGGGGGAATAAGGGGTATACAACGTCAAGATTGGAAGCCTGATATCTTTGAAAGAGAAACAGAAGCTGGCTTCAAATATATCTGGGTGTTTGTTTGTTTGTTTGTTTGTTTTTTGAGACAGCGTTTCCCTATGCAGTTCAGGCTGGCCTCAAATTCAGTATGTGGCTCAGGTTAGTCTCAAATTGGCGTTGATCCTCCTGCCTCGGCCTCCTGAGTACTGGGGTTAGTTACAGGTGTGTGCCACCACACAAGGCTTTCAAATATATCAAGAGGGCCGGCGTCCAGGTAGCTCAATGGATCAAGTGCCTCCTTAGACAAGCACAGGGACTGGGGTTCAATCTTCTGGCACCGTATCTGCCCCAGGGCACACTGAGCCGGCCACAGAGACTGGCCATGGTGGCCCATACCTGTAATCCCAGCACTGGGGAGGCTGAAAACAGGAGATCACCATGAGTCCAAGCTGTGTAGTGAGACACTGTACCAAATACATTTAAAAAAAAAAAAAAAAAAAGCTGCGTTCCAGAGCCAGCCAAGGCAGCACACATCTGGAATCCCGGCACTCAGGAGGCTGAGGCAGGAGGATCCCAAGTTCATGCCCAGCCTGGGCTCCCTAGCAAGCTCAGGGCCAGCCTGGGCAGTACAGTGAGACTGTCCGAATACAATAAAACAACAAAAAGCTGCAAGTGTGTACACCTGTCATCCCAGCACTCAGGCACAGAAGTTAGGGACAGCGGGCTCCTCTGGGAGGTGCGCAGGGAAAGACACTATCAGCTGGGGTACCTGGGAAGGTCCCCACGTCTGTCGCACTCTGTCCTCCTACTCCACAGGTTCATGCTTTTGTTTCTGTTTTGGGTTTTTTTGAGACAGGGTCTTCTCACTATGTAACTCCGGCTGGCCTTAAACTCATAAAGACCCTTCTGCCTCGGCCTCCTAAGTGCAGGGACTGCAGGCACGACTGCCATGCCCCATTAAGGCGCTTTCTTATTTGCTGTCACCATTCACATCTTTATCCTGTGACCCGACAGTTGGATACTGCTTTCTAATGGAAACCAACCACAGCACTGTTAGAACTTTCCACAGTGAGCACCAAGGAAACAAAATGCTGAAGAAATACATGCGCACACATGGACACACACGCACACATGGAAGGCCGTGGCATCCTGATGTCACTCTCCAGGGCTCAGTGATAATAACTATTAAACAGCGGAGAGGGCTTTGAAGCTCTGCATGAGGGGTTCTACCTAAATGCAATTATCCCATTAAAGCCCGATGGTCCGGCTCAACTAGCAGGGTGGCCTTTGTACCCTTGCTCCTCCAAAGCGGATGTTCTGAGACAGCAACTTCTTTGGGCCACAGGAATAAGGGGAACTGAAAAGAATTTCAAATGATTTTGCTATTTTGTTTAATTTCTGAACGAGCCAAAAGGAAAAAAACATGGTTTACCCAGAGGGCAACACAAAGGGTAAAAGGATTATGAAAGTTAGGGAGACACTGCGCCATCAGTCAGGCTGGGGAGCTGTGCCCAATCGCACCTGGTTGACTGTGCACACAGGAAAGGGGAGCGGGGTGTATTGGGGGGGGGGCGAAATTCTCCTCAGACTCAAACAGCAGGATCAGGAAACTGAAAGAGGCAACCTTAAGACATGTGCGAGGGGCCGGAAAGACAGCTCAGTAGAATAAGTGCTTGCCTGGCAAGCACAAGGTCCTGAGTTCAACCTGGTGCTGAAGCAGGAGGCTTGAGTTCAAGGCCAGCCTGACTAGTTAGGGAGACTGTCTCAAAATAAATAAATTAGTTAGTTTTTATTTTTTTTTTAATTTTTATTTATTTATTTGTGTGTGACTGTGTGTGGCCAGCTCAGCCCACCAGGGGGCGGGGCTGGCTGGCATGTGGTGCTGGGGGATTGAACCGCGGTCCCTGTGCTTTGCTAAGCTTGTTCTAAATAGGTGCTTTAGACCACTGAGCCATCTCACCAGCCCCAATAAATTAGTTTTTAAAAAGAGGCAAATGTAGAGCAGAAAGCCACTGAAGAACAAAGCTAAGACCCTGCCGCTCTGGGGGCCTGAGGACAACAGCAGGTGCAGACACCTTCCCACAAGACTTGCATGGGCTGGCTCAGGCCTGGGTAACACTCTGCTAAGTCGTGGGGCTCACCCTCCACCTTGAGGCCAGTGGGGCCAGATGGATGGAAGCAGACTCGTAAGGGAATAGACACACACCTTCTTTCTGTGGTACTTGAGACTGAACCCAGAGACTTCAAATTGAACTCTATTCCCGGAACCGTTTTTATTTTTCACTTGGAGACAGGGTCTTGCTAAATTGCCCAGGCTGGGCTCAAACTCCTAATCCTCCTGTCTCAGTTTCTCAGAGTACTGGGGGTTCACCTGGCATGGTGATACAAAGACGACCAGGTGTCCGGCAAGAATTCCTCTTCAAATATGATAATCATTCAAAAGTATATGTATAACTACGTTTTATACCTCTGCTTCTAGAACGCACTGCAGTGACATTCGTCTCTTTGTTCTGGGTGACATCCCCAGGCACATTGATAACCACTGAAGCCATCTGGGTTAGCAGCTTTTAGCTCCATGCCGACACACCCGCCACACACAGGAATGAAGGGAGAAAGGAGGCTGAGAGGGAACGGGGGCACAGAGGGGGCGGCAGGGGAAGCCAAGTGTGCCTGGCCTGATCCAGGGGCTGCTATCCCTGGACTTGAGGCCCCAACACTGCAAACTCTGGTGCCCCTCGCTGTTTAACTGAGGAAGTGACTGAGCCAAAAACAACCAAACACAACCAGGAATCCACACAGGGCCTGGGCAGAGTGTGGTATAAGCTGGGGGACCTGCAAGGCAGGGGAAGGAAAGGTCCTGGACAACAGGGCGCCAAAGACAGGGACAAGGCGGGGCCTGGCCAGAAGACAGCCCAGGAGCTAGTGCAGGGGACAGAGCGCAGCCTGGGCACCAGGCACTCTGGCACCCCAGACTCCCTGCTGCCGACACCCTAGGATGAGGCCGCACCACGAAGCCCCTGAGTCTGACAGACCCGTGTGCCTGCCGACCCCATGAGCATCCTCACCAGCCACCCCCCATCCTCCAACCAGCACTAGCCACCTGACCCCAAAATTTTCGGGGCACACTGACACTGAAGCAGGACCAGGGCAGGACAAGGATGTGACAACCAAGCAAAGAGAGGTGATGGGGGCCAGGAAAATTTTCCCACACCCAATGGCACTGGTCAGGCTTTGAAAGCAGATTTAAAGGAAGAAAGAAAACTCAGAGCAGAGTGAGTAAAAATGGCACTGCAGAAACTGTCACAGGTATGTCTGATCTGGCGAGCGCGCCAGCGTCTGTTATATCCTCAGGACTCAGGACCTTAAGGACTAGAGAGCCACTCACGCCGGCACCTAGCAGGGGAGCTGTGGGGGGAGGGGCTGAGGGGTGAAGTCCATGTCCTTCCAGTACATCACCTCCCATCCGCAGGCAGTTGTCACCCTGGACAACTTCCTCTCCCTGGTCCTTTGTGGTCACTGAGGACTTAACGGCGACTGGCACCCTGCAAAAGCGCTCCCCAGAGAAAGTCACTGACATCGTTTATAGAAAGGAAACTAGCAAAGCTTAACAGAAGAGGAACTGCGAGAGGGGGCAGAAGGTCAGGAGAACCAATACATTACCGTGCTACAGAAGGCCAGGGGTGGTGGTGCATGCCTATAACCCCAGTGCTCGGGAGGCAGAGACAGGAGGGCTGCTGAGAGTGAGAGGCCAGTCGGGGCTACATAAGGAGTTGAAGGCCAGCCTGAACTACATAGCGAGACCCTGCCTCAAAAAACAAATAACAACAACAACAACATGCAATAGAAGGCTAGATATGGTAGCTCACCCACAAGCTCAGCACTGGGGAAGCTGGGGCAGGAGGATTGCCACAAATCTGAGGCTAGCCTGGGCTACAGTGAGCTCAGTGCCAGCCTGATCTACACGGCGAGTATAACCAACAAGCAAACAAAAGCAGCTCCCTGTGGGGCTGGGAGCTCCACTCAGTGATCAGGCATCTGCTGTGTGGAGGCCCTGTACCACACATACTCATACACAAACACGTTTTTTTAATGTTTAATTATTATTTAAAGAACTTTTAATTATTATTTTTACTTTCAGAACATGAGACACTAGAAAGGCAATTTTTCACAGCCAATAATCCTTTATTTTATGTATAAAAGCCTCCCACTGTGCGTTACATTTTCCCAGTTATTTCCACTGACAGAGGACACATTTTCAAACGGGCTTTCGGTACAGTCTCTTCTGAAAGGGAAATGATAGAAAGGTTAGGGTAACTTCTGGTGTTTGCTGAAGTTAACTCCCCCACAGACTGCAGAACGAGAACCGGAAATACATCCGCAGAGCAGTACTTGTTTCGTCCAGCTCTAAGCATTTCTTTTATTTCTAGTTGCACCTCAGGTACAGCTGCAGAGTGCTCGAGGGAGCACTCACAGGCCGTGGCTGCACTGGGGAAGAAAGCCTGGGCGGCGCCACAGCACAAAGACGAGATCTCACTGACAATGAGGGTCACGGGAAACAGCCACATGTCACCATGCTGGCCAATAAGGCAGGAACCACCCAGAGCAGTGATGGCGAACCTTCTAGAGCTGTCGATCATCTGAACAACCAGCTGCGGCAGGTGTGCTGCAGGTCTGCCACCACTGGCCTAGTCAGGTCTCAGAGCACAAGTGGGCAAGTCATCCAAACTCCACGCCATGCCAGCTTCCAGCTAGGGCAAGGAGCCCTCTTCATGGTGCCAGGGAACGGGGACAGGCAGTGGAGACAATCGTGTGGCCTGGTAAGGCTATGGGACCAGTACCTGTGCCCAGCGACGTTCACCACCAGAAGCAGAAAGGCACCAATCAGAATCTCAAAGGCATAGCTAGACACAGGGCAGCCTGGCACAGTCCACGCCCTCCATCCAATCCCCAGCACCACAGTGAAATCAAATAAATACAATGCAAAGCTCTGGCAGAGATCAAATAACCATACAGAGGGTTACTACAAAAGTCATTTTGTTTCCCCTTCATGTGTTTCATATTTTCCCTTTATGTCAGTAAATGATAGATAAAGTGACCAGAAACCTGCATGATTAAACAAGTTCATCCATAAACCACATTTTGGAGAGTAAGGAAAAGACTGAAGAAACTATCCCTGACCCCCATCATCCCTCAACATTGCACGTTTTCCTATTTGTTTACATGATTTAAAATACACATACAGAGTGACAGCAACATGTTGACTAACATCAAATTCACAGCCTTGCAGACAGGCGCTCGACAACTTTGAAACAAGTGTTCCCTCTCTGGCACTGGAAACCCGTTGATGTGATCTGTCACATGCTTCATACCTCAGGGACAACAGGTCTCTCTCTTTTCTCTAATTCAGTCTTCCACAGAAGTGACCCCAGGAACCTGCCCATGACACGGATCATCCTCCCAGAACAGGGACCCGTGTGGATTGGCTGTCTGAGGACCCCACAGTGCCCAGGGGTCAGGGGCCGCATATTGGAATGATCATAACATGGACCTAACAAAAGAAGACATCACTCAGGAGCCACAGCTGTCTGTGAGTAGAGTTGAGGAAAACAAGTGACAATAACTTGGAGCTGTGTCTGCTTCTAGAGTGGTTGCCTTGGAGACGAGGAATGCAGGTAGCCGGTCTTCTCCACCTTGCTGGTAAGGTGTTCTTTGTCACAGGCAGGCTGTGGCTCTGTCAGCGGAGCCCTGTGTGCATCACGATCCATGCTTCAAAGGTGAGCTACTCTCTGCAAACACATTACCTGAGCAAATGTGACAGCACGGCTCTGACTTCTGTCCCTTCAAGTCTTGGGTCTGGCGAACAGGCATCCCAGGCTGGGACAATTAAGCTTGAAGGGACAAACCTCAACAGGGCAAGTGAGGATGCCAGCAGTTTCGAGCACCCGTCAGTCCATTCGAGAAAAAAAACAATAGAAGTCATCACAATAATTCTGTAGTGTAGAAAAACAGCTCAGCCTCCCTGCTGCCAGGGGTCTGGTGGCCAGCAGCAGTGAGGCCTCCCAAGCTCAGGTTAGGCTGGCGTGGGGACAGCCAAGACCTCACAGTCCTCACGTATCCCCACTGTCCTTTGCTCCTCGGGAGCATAGTCACTCACTCAACACATGAGCTTGTCTCCGCTGCACCAGAGAAGCTACCTCCCTCACAATCAGTGGGGAGATGAATACAATCGTACAGCTCGTCTGTGGAAAGAAAGAGCGAGAACCATACACGACCATTCCCTGCTTTGTGTTTGGAACGTAAGAATGGATTTGCGGGGCTGGGGAGATAGCTTGGTGGTCTCTGCGCCTGCCTGGCAAGCACAAGCACCCAGGTTTGATCCCGATACCACATCATGTCAGCATGGGCCACTGGCCCCAAAACTGGGCGTGATTGTGCATGCCTATAATCCCAGTCCTGGGGAGGCTGAGATAGGAGGATCACCACGTGCCTGAGCTGCACAGTGAGACCCTGTACCAAATAAATAAATACATAAAATGGATTCAAACAATTAAAAGATAACTTTTAATCCACCCTTCAATGGATTTGAAAATGACTTTTGAAAAACCATAGTTAATATCACACAGTATACTTAGTGTCACATTATTTGGGGGGGAAAATCTAAACAATTAAAGGACACGATGGGCACAGGCAGAACAGAAAGCTGTTAGGATATTGCATGAAAAGTGGGTGGCTGCCTGCAGACCCAGCTTTGTGCGCTGCAAGTCCCCAGCTGTCATATCACCAGAAGCCACCCTGCTCCCGCAGCAGAGCACCAGCAGAACGGCAGGGAATGGCATGGTCTCCGGAAGCCAGAGGCAAGGGTGCCGGAGCTGGGCCATCCCAGCTTCCTGTAGCAGCTCGGAGGGCACTGTCTCTCGTCAGGTCAGCCTGGACCGTGGATGCACCCTAAGGTCTTCATCAGACCCTCGGGCAGACCCTCCCCACAATAAAGTGGCAGAGTTCATCACACACCCATTAAACAGAAAGAACTGTTGTTCTGTTTTTTTGAGATAAGATCCTACTACATAGTGAGGGCTGCCTTGAATAAAGCCCATACTTCGCAATCCTCCTGCCCCAGCTCTCTGAGAGCTGGAGTAACAGATACGCACCACCAAGCCTGGCCAGAAAGCAGTATTTTAACAGCACAGGCCTTTTCTGTATTGGCGATTTCCCAGAAGGTACGAAATCACAGCTGAGTGTGACAACTATTTTCTCCGAGACCACCGTCATTCCAGCATCTGCACACAGCACAGTGTTAGCTAGAGTTAGCTCCGAGGGGCTTAACGCACACTGCAGTTCCCCCCAAACCCAAATTCTATTCAGCACAGACTGAGCAGCCAGAAAAGTACAGTGACCGGTGCTTGGTGATCCACAAGGAAGCCTGTTGTTCTGGAACCAGGTACAGCAACACACAGCTCTCGGTGGAGGGGTGAGAGTCCTGCCCCTCCTCAAGAAAAGAGCCTGCTGTGTAGACTAACAAATGTTACTTTTCCCAAAACAGTCTTTAGCAGCAGCCAGCAATTTGGCTGGTTTCCAGAAGTGACTTAGGAAAATGCTCTGAACTAAACTATTAAGAAATATGACTAGTTAAAAAAACAAAACTTTAAAAAAGCACACGTACCATGAGAATGAAAAAGTAGAAAACCCACATCCAGCCGAGGTTGTCCTGGATCAAAGACACCAAATACTAAAAAAGAGAGAAAGAAATCACAACGTCGTTCTTTGAAAATTAACAAAATGAAGTAGCTGAGAAGCAGATTAAGTACAGCTATTCTGGCAATCAGGAAGGGTGCCAGGGACTGCACACGAAGCTCTCCATGGCTGTCCTGTTGCCTGCAGTCCTGAGCCACACCGCCCACTCTGCACCCTCGGGCTGCCCACTTAACCACTGTCTCCCAGTGGGGGCGCCACCGCTAATGCGCCTGGGCTCTGGACGGTGCTGCTCGCTTCCCAGCAGCAGTGGCCCACGGGATTCCTGGACCCTTGCCCCAGGCAACAGCATGTTCTTTTCTTTCTTTCTTTCTTTCTTTCTTTCTTTCTTTCTTTCTTTCTTTTAATGTTATTCAATACAGGGTCTCACTGTGCAGCTTGGACTCATAGTGCTCCTCCTGCTTTCAACCTCCGCAGTGCTGGGAATATAGGCGTGCGCCACTACGCCTGCTCAGGGCACTTGAGGGCAGGGCCAGTGTGACAAGTGGTGCCGGGGAACAAACCTTGGCCCCTGCACTTGCCTAAGCAGGCACTTAGTCTGCTAAGTTATCTTGCCAGCACTTTCTTATACTTCACTTTCAATTAATGAAGACTCTTAACAGCATTTAATTCATTTTCTTTTACTATAAAATATACTTATCATAAGACTTGCCATTTTAATCATTTTTATTTTTTTTATTTATTTATTTTTATTTATTACATTTATTTATTGTGTGTGTGTGGCCAGCTCAGCCCACCAGGGGGCGGGGCTGGCTGGCATGTGGTGCTGGAGGATCGAACCGCGGTCCCTGTGCTTTGCCAAGCTTGTTTCAAGTAGGTGCTTTAGACCACTGAGCCATCTCTCCAGCCCCATTTTAATCATTTTTAAATGTAGTACACTCAGAATGTACTATCACCATTTCCAAAATATTTTCATCATCCAATAGAAATCCTACACTTGGGTCAAGCATGGTGGCATATGCCTGTAATCCCAGCCCTCAAGAGGCTGAGGCAGGATTGTTGTGAGTTTAAGGCCACATTGTGAGATCAGAGTCAGGCTGAACTGCATAGTGACACACTGTCCCCTCAAACAGAGAAAACCTATACATAGTAAACAGCAACTCCTTATCACCCTCTGCCCCACCCTTGGCACCTGCAATCTGCTTTCTATGTTATTTCTTTCTTTCTGTATTTTTTTTTCCTATGCTATTCCTATGAATTGCTCATTCTGGGTGCTCCATATAAATGGAATCATGCAATAGTGGTCCTTTTGTATCTAGCTTAGTTCACTTAGCATACTCTTTCAAGATTCAATCACATTGTAAGCTTGTATTAGAACTTTGTTCCTTTTTTAGGGCTGAAGAATACTCCATACACCACAGCTTGTTGATTCATTCATCCACTGAACCCTTGAGATGTCTCCAACTTTGAGTCACCATCAGCAACGCTGCAATGGATACCGGCACACAAATACCAGAGTCCCTGTTTTCAAGTCTTTTGGGAATTTATGTAGTACAGGGAGCTCTGGAATCCTAGTGAGATCATTCCAATCTACCACTACCAGTGTGACACATAACGAGAATAAAGATACTAAGGCATATTTACAGTAGTGGGGAGCCACGTGGGCCCCAAGTCCAGCTAGGGTGACAGCTAACCAGAACAAAAGGCCTCAACCCAGGGCTGACTCAGGTTTTATTAATTCATGAGAGGAGTGGCTCGGGATGAGTGACTGTGAGTGCTGGGAGCTGGGCTGGGGAGGAGGCCTGAGATCACCTGTGCAGCACGCAGAGCAATCTGCATGACACAACGGAGGTAGCAGCTGACGTTTTGGGGTCGGTACTCCAGCTCTGCTGCGGAATCTTTTATGCCCCAGGGAGTCACAGCTTCTGTCTCGAGGCTCACCCCAGCCGAGAGCCCAGCTTCTTGGCAGCTACCGGCAGGAGGAGCAGCACTGACCTGTGGCCTTGCTTCAGAGACTACACATCGGCGCCTTGGACAGACCAATTTTCATTACTTAAAGCCAGTTAAGGAGAGAAGGAAAAGATAGCTCTGTACCTATGAGTACATAGATGAGGGCCAGGTTCAGCCAACATGCAGATGACTGCTCTTCTTCACAAGGCAGGAGTGGAGTTCCTGGGTCATATGGCATGGCCACTCGATGCTTTTATTGTTTAAGGAACCGCCAAGGTACTTCCCAGAGCAGCGCTGCAGCCGCCATTCTCATGAGCAATGCAGTGCCCTGACAGCTCCACATTCTCACCGACGCTTAATACGCACAGTGTTCGATTATACTGCCCTAGAGGTATGAAGTCCCACCTCCCCATATTCTTAATTTGTACTTCCCTAATGAATAAGGGTGTTGAGAATCTTTTGAGTGCTTATTGGCTTCTTTTAGTCCAGTATTTGTCCTGAAGATTTGCCTATTCTAGGGGCTGGGGAGATGGCTCAGCAGAATAAGCACTTCCCTGGCAAGTGCAAGGGTCTGAGTTCAATCCCTGGTTCTGCCCAAAAA